CCCCGTGAAACTTAGACAGCGGCCGCATAATGTCGGGGGCCTGAAGCATTACCAAGATTAGGTGGTTCTCGCTTCCCTAGAAAGATATGGGGGAAAAAAGGTACTCCAAATAGACATCAACATTGATTACACCCAAAAGGCCAAATAGTTTAGCGAATTAGTCGAAATTAGCCGCTTACATTTCAATCCCCTCACCCAAGAACAACCTTCCACAGCCCGAACAAGGTGTAATCCTATTTTTGTGCAGATATGTAATGATGGGGGTGAACGCTACTGTTTCTTGGAGCGTGGCGAGAGCAACCTGCAGTGTTATGAGACTTCCAGTGCTGCACCTGTTCTGTGATCAACACTATGGTTGGTACAAAGATTGAATCGGAGAATCCGGAATTTTGGAGGAAACCGGGCCGCGTTCATGCAAGAACTTCCTAGGTTGGTCATTGCACTGTAGAAGGAAGATTTGTTCCTGGGGCCGCGGAGGTTTAGCAGGGGGAAGGAATTGCGGCGCTCAGGCGGCTTTTGAAAGTTGAGCCCCCCTAAATCCTTAACTCCTAAACCCCAAGCCCCTAAATCCTGAGCACCGAACTCCCAAACACGAAACCTTTAAATCAAAAACCCTGAGCCCCTCAATCCTAAATCCTAAGCCCCTCAATCCTAAACCCTAGGCCCCTAACTCCTAAACCCTAAGCCTCTAAATCCTAAACCCCTGAATCCTAACCCCTAAGCCTTTCTTCCTGGAGGGGCTGGCACCGGCGACGCGAATGCAACCGGACCGACCACAACAATGATGACCTCTACTTCGCCCATACCTCGGCACTACACAAGCCCGGAACAATATGGGGGTGTCCCAAAATTAGGGGTACTTTTTTGAGGGGGTCCCTATAATGAGGACTATAATGAAATTATCACATACTTTTATTGGTACTGTACTTATTATCAGTATTAATATCAAAATTGTTACTAATTAATTGTTACTATTACTGTTTTTTTTTATCTAGAGTTGAGAGTTTAAGGGTATGCATCCCTCCCCTAGTACAATGTCTTGTGATGGGGATGTTTATTACTGATCTTGCCGGTGTGGGGAAGCGGGGGCGTGGAGCTACGTCCCCTACGTAGACCGCTTAGTAATGCTCACCTCCACTCTCCCTCAAGCGCCCGCAAGTATACAAACCAATGTCATAGCGCCTACTTTCACTCCCCTGCACCCCGCACCCTACCAGGATGGGCTATTAGATCTTGAAGGGCCCTTTTTCTAGGCTCATTAAGGTACTAATACGGAATTTTCGGGTCTATAGCGCATACCGGTAAACCCTCAACCCAAGTATACAGAAATACCCAGAACTTCAGACCCCCAGCCCTGAACATACATGTGGTTAGTAGGGAATATGGGAACTCAATCCTTAGATATTCCCTTATTCCCTGCTAACCCCCACAAACTAGACCTAAAGTCCTAAACCTTAGATCCTAAACCCTAAACCCCTCGGCCCCGAAGCTTTCAAGGACGGCAACTGCCTCAGAGTGCGTGACAGCCGAGAGATTCTGGCTGGGCTCGGTATCTCAACTGCATACATTGTAGGATTTCACCCGAATAGGGTTTAGGGTTGAGGGTTTAGGGTATGCAATGATCACTAGGTTGGCCTAAACCCTAAACCCCTTTAAGGGGCTTTTTAATTTTGGGGGTTGGATACTTCAGTACTTTCCCTTTTTGGGTTTCAAGAGGACCCTGGTAAGGGCTCCGAAGGCCCGCCAAGGTTTTTAGGGGTTATGTAGGAGAAAGTACAGGGATGATACGGGGATGTAGGGACTATACTATGTAGGGATAGCATAGGGGGTTATTTAGGAGTGACATAGGGAGATTACCCCAACAATGGAGAATCAAAAGGAAAAGAACATGGCCCTGGAGCTTGGCAGCTTTCCCATAAGCCCGTGTATACTCGCACTTTCCATTTCTTCATTGCCCATGTTCTTTTCCCTTTGATTCTCCTTCATTGGGATGATGTCCTTATGAAATCCCTTCATAACCCCTAGATACCTGAGAGTAAGCGCAGTGGGCTGCTTCGGATGCAGGTTCCGCCAACAGAGGTCGGCAGATGAGATTGTAATTGGGTTGTTAAGATATGTAGTAGTTTCCCAAAACAGGGGGTCCGCAATATAGACCCCAAAATACCGTGATCCCTCTTGTTGGGACCCCCAAAATGGTACCATGATTTAGGGAACACCCTATGTAGTATATTCAAGGAACCTTCAGGTGGGTAGAGGTCAGGAGGGTGCGGTTTAAAGAGGCCTTGAGAGACATTGCCCCTGTACGAGCCTTATATGAGCCTTGTTTGGGGGTACGCACCTGCTAACTACCCGCCTGGGGGGTGTCCTTGATATATTGCCGAACTAGAACCACGTGATCGCTTGTTTGGTACTTATTCTTAGTACTACCACTTTGCACTTAACAAGATCCACAATCTGCTTACGTAGGAGGGTGCAGGCAACTAAGAACCTGTGACTTGTGATTGTGCCAAGGACGTCACTGGGACGGTGACTGTGAATGGCCCCAGGACAAGCAGTTGGTCCAAGCTTGGTCCGATTTATGTGCTGCTTGCTGGTAGGAGGGAAGAAATACTGGTTTTAGGGGTTTACAGTTTGATAATTCAGTGAATGGAGATCTTACCTACGAAGAAGAAAGTTGTGAGATCTTATGGCAGAACCAAAGCTTAAAAATGGCTAGCTGCTTGGCGTGAGCCTCCTGCAACGGAGATTCTGCTATAACATCGCCTGCAAATCCGGAGGAATGAAGGCACGCTGATCAAGCGTGCAGGGACGCCTTTCGACTTGATCTTGCAGGGCACAAGGCACGTTTACCAGAAGAGTTCGGTGAGGAAAACGAGGGTTCTCAAAACCAAATAATTCGCGCCTCCTCGCTTAGGGCGACCCCAATTTTGAGAAGCCCCGCCCTCCTCCGGTAATTTGAGCAAAGCAAAAATGTCGGCAGATGTCTTAGATACTGACGCCCTGGCCAGTTTGAGCAGCAGAGACCGCATCCGGATTGTGGATGAAACAGTAGACTGCTATGCCGGAGCCCTACTGTTGTTGAGCGGAAAAAATGTGTGCTTTGATTGGAATGCCCTGATCCGTATACAATTCCTAATATGTGACTAGAAGTGCGCAGTTATGTACAAGGCCTTCGACGGCCTACTCCAACCTTAGCTACCGGTGGTTGCTCGACACATACGGAAGTTTTTCCATGATAATCACCAAGAGAAAACTAGCTCGCAGATGTGTAACATGTCACAACTTAGATGACAGGACCCCAGTGGATTCCTGTATGTATGTTTCCCCGAATTTAGGGGTCGCCTTCGGGGAGCCCCTAGAAGCTTAATGAGTATATAGGGACTCCCATTCTGGGGGATGTCCATATGCTGTAACCGGCCTCAAGACCAACCATGACGTCGCACAGCCTTAAATCGGCCTTGGCCACTGCATAAGGACTTGGCAGCGACCAAGACCATGCACCCTGCTGCAGGAGCCTCAGCAAATCTTAGGAAGCCCATCCTTGTTGCTACGCTTTCCCTAAACAATCAAAGTGTACAAATGATACCTACATTCGGCCCTAAAGGCTGTAAACATTGCCTACATTGGGCTATTTAGATATCTAGGGTTTGCTAACAGAAGAGAAAACCGTATTGCAATCCCAGCATGTCGAAGTTTCCATGCACTTTGCACAACTGCTGAAAGCCCACACCATCTGCCCATGAATTGGGACATCCCTTGCAAGCAGGTTCTGTGGTGGTTGCGGTTCATGTTGCAAATCTGCATATCTCTCAAATGAGCCATGGTCCAGACTCCTTAAAGGGGGTTATATAGGGGATGGTATAGGCGAGTATTATGGCGATATCAAGGGGGATACTAGGGGTTTGGACCATAGCTAAAGTGTATTGACGCAGGTGGCAACGGACGTGCCATACACGGATCCCTCGGGGCAGCGATTCTCGGGCTTCGACACCCAGGAGCATCCCGGCTTGACTTGGCGCCGTCAGAAGATACTTGATGCTAGTAAGTGGGACGGCTATGCCCAAAGAAGCTGTTGTAACTATTTGAATATTTTTTCTGGTATCTAGTTCCCACGTTGGTCTCCTAGTGTTAGAAGCTCCTAGTTATAATCAACAGGGACCATAGTATTCGAGGACATATAGGAGGGGGGTTATTCTGGGAAATACCCACAAAGTGCGTTTGGTCCGTGAATAAATTCATATAGGAGCCTAAATAATTACCAATATAATGGCTCCATATTCCTTATATATTTATTGCCTATGGTACTTCAAAATACACCTCAAACTAGTACTTTGGTAATTATTGAGGCAAAGTCGAGGTGCCAAGTTTTAGTCATCAGGAGGGGCAATGGGATCCTATGCCCCGTTTAAGCTGAATATGCGAGATGTGTGTGGGTGAGTGTGGGGACCTTAAACCCCAAACCCCTATCTTACTGGTGCTAAGTGGGGAATGTTGAATACAATCCGTGCGTAGCCCCTACATATTGCATTCCCGCCCGTATTCCCCACTAACCTCCCGAAAGTAAACCCCCACACCTTAGACCCTTAACCCTAAACCCAGTAAGAGCTTCGCTTTTTGGACCTTGGTTGGGCTTGCCTTTGGCGGTGCCACGTGCAGCTGTTGAGCCTTCCTGCGTACTTAAAGCCCTGAACCTTTTCGGGGGTAGCGGGGCCGTTAGGGGTCTATAGGGGGTGTAGGGGATATATTTGTGGATAAATACCAGTATGGTTTTGAGGAATGGATCCCTCTAGTTTCCCCTGCTGTATATAATCCCCAATAGTACTGTGGTTTCCATTTGTTCGCTTCCATTTCGTCATTCCCTATTCAAAACCAGCCCTAAATCGTGGATATCCCTCAATCCCCGGGTTCCATTTCCTATCCAACACACTAACCTCTAAACTCCAAACGCAACCCCCTTTACACATGTAGCAATCCTAAGGATATGGGAGAACATCGGAATCATGGTCCCCGGCACCTACCAAGCTCGGCTCTCATGCTTTGGGTCGAAAGCCGCTGTGATTCTACCACCGTTTTGGCAGAGATATCGCTGCTGCTGTTGTGGGGTGTTGTGTATCATTGTTAGATCATTCTTGCTTTCATGGGAGTGCTTGTATAGTACCGGCTCACATACTGTCGACCAGGCTGTCATCCATGACATGTACAGAGTGATGATTCCTGTCAGTAGCTGCTCGGTGTTTTGAAAAACTGGATGTGGGACTCCCATTGAGGTATGTAGCGGCTATATTATGAAGATAGCAGGTAGCAAGTAAAATGAGAACCCGCCCAGATCATGTGCAATGGAGAGCGGACAGGTTTGTTGGTGCTCAGCGGGTGGGACCGTGTCCAATGCCTGCAGCGATGACCAGGAGTTCACGACAAATGCCTGCCACCTGGAATGGTTGATAAGGAAAAATAGCAACTAGTTGAAAAGATCAATATCAGGGAACCACGGTATAGCAGCCAAGATAGGCTCAAGCGATAAGAACGAGAAGGGAGTTTCATGACATGCAAGGCAGCATGGTTGCATCTAGCGAAACTGGTTCCTTCAGGTCGCAACTCTCGAAGTTGGTGGGCCTACAGCAGGAGTGATCCAGGCCTTCTGTGTTGGCAGCTTCCAAAACACCAACTGCCGAATCGGATATGAGGAAAGATGCGAAAAGTGTGATAAAAGATGTGGGTTCCTGCAACACGCATTACCTGATACTGGCCTGGATCGTGACTTTACAAGGAAAGCAAGGTTGTTCATGTTAGCAAGAGTGATGTCCAGAGCTTGGAGTTCTTATATCCTTCTTGTTTGCATGCAGTCCTTCGAGTGCATCACTGGCGTACGGCTCTTGGCGCTCTGCATCAGTATGTTTTACTATACCGTGGTGTGTTGTTTGAGGAGAGAGCCAGCCGCCTTGCTTTGAGGTTGCTTGCACTCTTCCAATCACAGGAGCAGGCGGTTCTTTTCGGGGGGTTGTCATGGTAAGGCTTATAGTTTTTTGGGTATACAAGAATAAATACCATTTCCCTTGCTTGTGTTGATGTGCCAGGTCTTAACAACAATGATCGCATCCTAATCATTGCGGACTACCTGGAGCGGGGATCTCATGGCAATTTTGTACGCGTCCTGTGAAGGTTTTGCATCGCTAGTGGTGCAGGTGCGGCTTTGCCCCACAGACTAGTGCTGTGGTTTCGGGGGGTGACTTCTCAAATCCCAGAACAAGCGGGTCGGTCGGAGACTCAGACGTTTTGGATGAAGGGTGGGGATCTTTTGATGAATCCCCTCTACTAATAGCAGTAGCAACACTTCAACCACCAAATCGTCAATCTTCCCAATATATTGAGATGCATTACAGTAGATATATATATATATAGATGTATACATGAGGCGCTTTTAGTATTAGGGTGCGGTTGCCTACGCTTCTTCTGAGGACACACTCTCCCGGTTCGGCGGCATCATCATGGGCCGTCATGGGAACTTCAAAGTGTGCTGGTGCGGTAGCCCTTCGGCTGAGCGAGCTAAGCCCAACATCGCAAGGAACGCATGGCCTGCTGATACCAAACCATAATGGTGCTAATATTTCTATTACTATTAGTTTTACTAGTATATTGTGATATTTATATATTGTTATTGTTATCTTTATTCTTATATTCTTGGTGCTACTGTTATGTTGAGGGCTGAAGCATCGCAAGGCTACAATGAGATCACCTGTCCATCTTGCTGCACGCAAATGGACCACTACACGGTGTATGCTGGCAACATCTCCAGCGGCGGCCCGATCCAAGGCAAGTTCAATGCGTGTTGGAATAGTCAGTGGCACAGAGGAGCGCACAAGCTAGATGGTAGTTTCCCTAAACCCTAACCCTAAACCTCTAAACCCCAATATTTCCCAAAATAAGGGACCCCAATATAGACCTACTATAATCCTTATTATGGGGACCCCCCAAAAGGTACCCCTAGTTTTGGGAAACCCCCCTAAACCCTAAACCCCAATATAGGGACCCAAAGAGGTACCCTTAATTAGCTCTGGGCAACCCCCCAAATGGCCCTGCGCAAGGTCAAGTTGACCGACCACCCGTTGGTGTGCTGGGAGCTCATCAATCTCTTAGGATTTAGGGGTTAGGGTTTAGGGTTTAGGAGGACCCCCCACCCAGTAATAGTGACTAAAGGGGATAATAGGGATTATATAGGGACTATATAGGGACTATAGGGTTCTAGGGTTTTTAGTGTTTAGGGTTTAGGATAATAGTGACTATAAGGGATAATAGGAATTATATTAGGGTCCTCTTATATTTCTATTATACCACTATTACAGGGTGGGAGGTCCTCCTAATCAATCTCCCTCATCCGATGTCTGCCCTGTACTACTATAGTATATTGGGGTTATATAGGGGATATATTGGGATAATGGAAAAGAAAATGGAAATTACTATAGTATCTTGGGGTTATATAGGGGATGTATAGGTCACAGGTTGGAAGCTGACGAACTGAACTCCCAGCATGTCTGCTGTCACTCGCTGCTGAAGGCCGTTCCACTACACCATTTCAGGATGGGGCATGAGCAGCACTGACAGGAGCGTGGAGCGCGACACTGCGCAGCATTGACACTGTTAGGGCGTTGGTCCTGCTGATACAGTGGTGATCATCATCGTTCTGCTCTACAGCATTCGTGGTCATGCCAACCGCATCTGAGTGTGTAGGAACTGCAGGCTGAGAGTGGCAACATGTGCAGTCTGCAGTCTGCGGCAGCAATAGTAAGAATTTTAATGGTACAAATAATAGGGGCTTCCATAGGCGACGGCAGATTGCCATAATTGCCCTTTCAAAAGAACACCATGCGGAGATCATGCAGGATACGAATTGTTGACAAGAATGTGATTTGCGGCCGGGCTGGTGCAGAGACGCAGTGTGGGGCTTAGTTAGTTCGGGATCAGGTAAGGCATAGTTTGGGTACTCCCCCCACCCAGTAACAGTCCATAATAGGGATCATATAAGGGCTGTATATATCTATATGGTACTTCTTATTCAACTGTTACTAGGTGGGGGCAGTACCACAGGCATGGCAGCAACGAATTTGCAGACAGGGCTACAGTTTTTGGATGAAGTGAGGGTAAAGGATTCTAGCACAGAGAATTTTGGGGCCTCAAATGGTGGGGACCGCAATAAGGAGCCTTCACCCTATCCTCCACCCTATCCTTCATACTCAAAATTAGTGGAAGAGCTAGTCGCAGCCTGTGTAGACTGATACACTGGGTCCTGCTAGATGCTGTATACCCATCCCAATACATCATCCCTTCAGGAAGGTCCCTGGCCCTACTTTTGGGAACCCTCCAAAAAGTGGGTGTCAAATTGGAGGCCCCTGCCAACTCCCGTTCCCATTCAATTTAATTAACAAAGGCACACCAAAAAGGCTTTAGATTCAGGACTCTTGGTTCCACAAAAAGGTTTAGGGCTCACAACCCCGAATATTTTCCCTATAATCCCTGTATGATACCAATGTATTCCCTATATAACCCCTATCCTTACACCCTCAACCCTTACAGAGCCCTTATATATACAGTTCTGAATGCGCTGAGTTCCCTCGGCATCGAAGCTAGCACCGTGCCGAACGGACTGCTTTGGGGCCATGGTCTGACATGTGGTACTACGTGGTTAGTTTAGGGCTGACGGTTTAGGGTTCAGGGTTACATCACAGGGTTGTTGTTAAGGAACTTAAATTAAGTTAATATAATAAGGAAACTTAAGCCCTATTATTTACTATATACCCCCAGAATGGTAACCTAATTTAAGTTTCTTAGCAGCAACCCGGATTACTGCTGTATAGGATTTGTTACAGTGGCCCATACAAATGGAGAGTCAAAAAGAAAACGTGCTTGTTCACGACTGAAGTCGTATTTTCGACCGACTACTATAAACACAGAGAGCAAGATATATCCTCCTTTCGTTTGTAGCACTTCATAGAAGATACCATCTTACTTGGTTCAACCACACTGCTCACATGTTGGGGCTTTTCAATTTTGCGGATTCTGTCTTGGGGGTCCATATGTTCTATTAGAGACGACGCTCTTTCAGAAACCCGAAACCTTAAAGATTAAGATTCCGGTGGGCCGTCCAGAAGAAGCCATCACATATTAGCTGACAGCTCAACCATTTGTCGACCTTAAAAATATGAAGAGTTCTGGCTGTGGCCTTTCTACCATGTTTTTCATCTCCTCTGAGAAGGCCCGAAGTCCTGAATGGACATGCTTAATTTCCTAACTCAGGCCCCCGGTCCCCGGATCCGTGCCCCCAAATACTAGGTACCGCAAAAAATCGTATACCACAGTGTTGAGAATGGCCCATAATGAAGCCTCCAAGTCTTTGGCCAAAGGGACCTACTTGGAGGTCCATTGTACT